ATTTACGAGTTTTTTTGACTTGTGGTTGTGGTTTCCCGATTTGGCGAGGTCGGTCGCAACCATGCACATTCTACACTGCACTAACGGGTATTGCCGAAATCAAAATTTCCTACCTTAAGCGCGTAGTTTCACTCTTTAGAGTCGTCAATCACACATGTTGTGATAGTCGAAATAAATCGATCATTCTATGCAGAGGTCGGTCCATGTTCCTATGGAATGAGAGATCGTGCTTGAAGCAGCCGTAAACTAGTAATATCGAGATGAGTCGATTAGAGAGAGGGAAGTCCGGAGTAGAATTCTATCTCCCATACTGGAGGTAAATACGATTCGGGCCATCGTTCCGCCATAGCCAGCCGCGCAATCGTCGTGGCACCGAACGTATTGAACCAAAAGGACCACCGCCTCCTGTTGGAAGGATTTGGTGTCCAGATACATATTCCACCTCTGGCATCTCTGGAGGACTCGACTACGGAAGGAGATGCAGCTCTCCAGACAATTTCCATGTAATCATATGGGCGTAAATATACAATGGTAATCGATTCTAGTTGCCTATTTGCCCGGTATAATGCCTGGATGATCTTTTCCTCTCCTATTGAGTCGGGGGAGGCAGTGTGTAGATAATCCTTGAGGCCGACACTGGTCAGCTCGTGTAGACGGCCTACCATACGGGCGTACCACCCCAATGGGACCTGAACCAGTCAGAAACGAGATTCCGAGAATACGCGATGGAACTTACCAGACGCTCAGAGAGTGTGAAGAAGTAACAACCGCAATACCCATATTCCAAGTTATTGAGACGAGGAAACTTGGTCGCGAATTCATCAATATTCTCATGAGAAGATCCCCAGTCTTCTGCCGAGACATGGATGACACATTCTAATTCTTGAAGGCCTGAGCCGATCCGTTCTCCCAAAGTTCGTAGGTGCTTGAAGGTCATGCATTGCGAGGTAATCCGGAGCGAAGTAAGACGAGCCGTGCCAAGTAATACTGTCATAAGACTTGTTTTGATCGTCGGGGTTTCGATGTGGCGCAGACTGGAAGGGGCGACCCAACCATCGTAGAGTGTGGAGGAGGCAGAGTTGTACTTTGGAATGATTAGACTTCGGAGAGATACTGCATTGTCTAGGATATACCGGATGATTCGGTGGAATGTGATTTCGGCTTTCTTCGACTGGGGAACGTCGACAATGTGAAGCTGGTGGATCGTCGCCATATGTTCTGGTCGTCGAAGCACGCCTCCTAATACTCCAAACTGTTTCTTGAACAGATTCGGTATCACTTCGTTGATTGGTAGCTCATTATCGATTAAGCTGAGTATTTTATCGTGACTGGAAGTCTGGATGTGGACGTTTGCGTAAAACTTCCACAATGCCACGAGATGGAGAGCACGGTTGACCCGCATGAGTGCGAGTATAGAGCGGTTGTTGCATAGCTCGATAATGGTGCGCAATAGTTCGATGGGCAACGAGAAAATGTTGACGGTTGCATCTGCCTTGGCCGGTGGGATATTGGTTAGACTGTAAAGATTGTCGTCGGCTGGCAGAGCATCCCAAAGGTCAGACCAAGTATCCATTAATAACTCTTTGGAGGGTTTTAGTGGGTAAGTTTAAAGTGCGAAGGAGCGAGTGGATTTTATAGAAAACTTTTTGACCTGGCGCGTATGCGGAGAGTCAGCCTGGCGCTCTGGAACTGCCAACTACTCAAGAGCATGGTTGCCCTCATTGGTTGACTCAGTGATAGCGTTTTCTCAAGGTGAGTAGGGCCGGCTGACACGCTTTACATTGGTAGCCAGGTCCAAAGGACAAAGTCGGAGTACAGACTTGGACGCAAAGTTTCATATGACAAAGTAAGCGGCGTAAACAAGACAAGTATGGATGTGGGCCCGTCGATATTACAATTTAGTGTAGAATGTGCATGGTTGCGACCGACCTCGCCAAATCGGGAAACCACAACCACAAGTCAAAAAAACTCGTAAAT